CACACACACACACACACACACACACACACACACACACACACACACACGTCCCAGTTCATGGCGGATAAAAGTGTTTTGTGTTTTCAACGGCACTGAGACTGACGTCTTTTCATTGGTCAGCCAATTAGCGCGGTCGATCCTATTAGTAAAACACACACACACACACAAAAGATAGAGGTTGTGCACCGAGCCAGGGGCATATCGCTGTCCACGAGCCAATTTTACTTTCTTTTGCCCTCCCGCACACCTTCGCCGATGACGCTGTTTTTGTTTACCTGCCTGCGCTCTTTGTTTGCACTCTTCCTCCTCTGCTTGTGCTGTATGGAACGGCTACGTCTCCTGTGTTGCTCACTGCCGCTCGCTACCAGCTTCCTTCTCGGCGCGAGATCCCTGAGTCGGCGGTGTGGCAGGTCTTGCAGGACATCGGGCAGGCGCTGAGTCACGTGCACGCGATGGGCCTGGTGCACCTGGACGTGAAGCCGTCAAACCTCTTGATCGGCGATGAAGGTATGTACTATGGCAGATAGACACAGGACTAGATAAACGCACGGCCATCTGGTGCGTCTTTGCGTGTCCTCTGCTTACATGTACATACAGGGTAGATCCATCATTGCTTTTATCTCTGTTCTTTTTCTTTTTTATCGCGTTTTGAGGGCAACAGGCTCCCTTATATCGTCGTCGGTGCTTACGGAAAGAGTTACTGTACGTTGTTGTGTTGCCAGTCTTTTTCGCGTTCGCCTGGGCAGCTCGTATCTTATGCGGCGTAAACGCGAAGCGGCGTGCTCCACCGCGCATCGAAGGCATGACGATGGTCGTCTTTGCCGTCCGCCGCACTGGTTCAAGAGACAAGAAACCGCTGCCGTTTTCCCTTGGCCACGTGCAGCAGCAGCAGTGGTGGCGGCGACGGCTTACGGGAGGGTTGGGGATAGGTCATCGACAAATCTCTTCAACCCGATGTTCTCTTAATCCGTACTTGGTGTTTCTCATGGTCGTGACAAGCCAACAACACTCGTTCTCTTGGATTCGACGGTCTCTGTTGGACCGTGGCCACCGCTACTGCTGTAGGTGTAGTTGCAAGCTTCTGTGCCCGCCATCCGTGACCCACACGACAACCCCGCTACACTCGTGTGTGTGTGTTCCAACTGGATAGGGGGACGCTTGAAGCTGGCGGACTTCGGCATGGCCACGGCGTACGGCGAGGGGATGGAAGGAATCGGCGACGGTCAGGAGGGGGACACGCTGTACATGGCCAAGGAGCTGCTCTCTTCCACGGCGCGACTCCCCTCGGCGGACATGTTCAGGTGAGATTTTCTGGGACGGTATGCACTGGGTGTTGATGTTGTTGTTGTTGTTGTTGTTGTTGTTGTTGTTGTTGAACCCAACTTCGTAAACCCCAAGAGCATGTTCGACGAACTACCATGTCCCTGGGACAAGACGCCCAGGAACTGCAAGTAGCATGGTAGATAAGCGAGACGTAGTTTGGCTTCGTTTCCGGGCATGTTGTACTGCTGGCTGTTTCATCTACAACCGAGTCGCCCGCATGCAGCAGCAGCAGCAATATGGGACAAAGGTGAAGCCAATCATTACCCCGGACTGATCTTAGGCTCGAAAAATGCTTGGCGTCGCGTCGGCTTTGTGGTTTGGCCGGAGTGTGAATCGTGTTGGACGTTTGTTACAGCAGTAGTCTCTCGTTTGCACGAAAAGGCTACCGACCTCACGTGTTTCGCCTTTGTGCACTTGGTGCGTGCGGTAGCAGCAGTAATTGTAGCAGTGGCCCGTCCGTTCTGACGTGGGCACTCACTTTTTGCTGCCTTCCGTTCCCAGCGCAGGGGGTAGTGCAGGTGTACTATTGAAGTATGATTTAATAGCAGTGCAAGTGTACTATTTTTTCACGATTTAATAACAGCGTTGACTTGATTTGTGTGTTGTGCGCTAGGTCGCTTACGTCCCCTTCTCCCCTCCTGCTGCTGTTTGTCTCCTGTGCCTGCCGACCATTGTTGCACACCGAACGAACGAGCAGCCTCGGCTTGACCGTGTACGAAGTGGCGACGAGAATAGAGCTGCCGGGGGACGGCGAGGACTGGCACGCCATGAGGGACGGGAGGGCTGTCGGTCTTCCTTCTTCGAGGTCGAGGGACCTGGGGGACGTCTTGCGCCAGGTGAAGAACGAATAAACGCACGAACGATGACGGGAAGGCTGCCCGTCTGTTCATCAGATTGCTGCTGCTGTTGTTGTTCTTGATGTCGTTGATGTGATGGTGAGGGTGGTGAGGGGTGACGTTCGTCAGGGAGGTTTTGCGATTAGTGCTTTTGTTGTTGTTGGTGTTGGGGGGGGGGGGCGTTTGTCACGAGGGTTTTCGATGTTGTTGTTGTTCGTTGGTGGTTGAGGTGGTGGTGTTTGGTGTTAGGGGTTGGCTTGATATTTCACGACTGCATCGTTGAGCATGACAGACGTGCATAGACTTTTGTCAGTAGAACCAGCAAGGGCTGGTGTACATGCTGCATCCAGCACCAGCTTGCCGTGTTCCGGTGTGGGCTCCACTTTTTGATGGGACCTTGCACCTATGTTCCTGTCGTGGAGGTGTCCAACTCTGCTTTCGCTACAATATCGCCAAGCTTTTTTTCAGCGCACGACAGTTTTGACGAACCGGTGTTTTGCTCTCCCCCCCGTCGCCCGTCCCCGTTTTTTTGTTTTTTGTGAAGTTGATGCACCCCGACCCGCGGCAGAGGCCTACGGCAGACGCGCTGTGCGAACACCCTCGCGTTGCCAACGTCACCGACGGCGGCGCCAGCGGCACAGACAAGAAAACCGCCGGAGGGAAACCCGTTGCGCCGGGGACGGGAGCGGCGGCGGCGGCGANGGGGCGGCCTAAAGGAATATAGCTTGGCTAGAGCGGTACGAAGCGCGCGTTGTATCTTGGGGGGGGGGTGAGGGGGGAGTGAGGGGAACCACATGGTTTCGTCGGCAGGGGTGCAAGAGGTAGAGAACGTTTGGTTGGTGTTTTGCGAACGTAGGTGCGGTTGACTGGCCGCGCGCTTGCCGCAAAGAAAGGTGTGTAATCAATTGTGGGGTGGTTGGTTATAAATGCAAATGTATGAGTTATTCCGTGTGCTGGGTGGAGAACCGTTGCTGGCGGTTGGGGGGCGGGTTGGGGACCAGGGAAAAGAGAAAGAGTGACACGGGGTTCGATTGAGAGGTAGGTGCGGAAGACGAGCGACTCGCCACGTTCTGGGATGGTTTGGGGGGAGGTCTGCACGGCGCTTATTTTTTTTCTTGTTGTGGAGCGGGCCGGAAGAGGAAAAGAGGTTTGATGCCGCAGTGCCGCGGCAGTTGGAGGGTTAGTATTTGTGTCTTCGTTTTTATTCTCCCATCCCCTCCCCCCCTCCCCCCCCATCACCACTCGCGGCACCCGACCTTATCCCCACGGACAAATAGTCAATTCATGGAGCACAACTGCATCTCAAGTTTGTTCGATGACTCCCCGTATTTTTCTGTACGCATTTGTAGGGCAAGATTCTTGCTGTCCTCATATTAATCCTTTTTTTTTTTTTCTTAGTTGGGTATGCTTCTCGTCCGCCACAGATGCTGTGGTGAAGCTACACGAAGTGTTATTGGTTGTAACGTGTGTGTATAGATAGGCCAATCACCGTCGTTTCGGCCAGAGGCAAGCGCGGATATTTTTTTCTTGAACGTGTGGTGGTCTGTGCCTTCATGCTCTGTGGCTGATGTTGCTGCCCTTGTTTCACGCCCGCGGGCTGTGCAAGGCTTGGCTACGCTCTGGGGGCGAGACCGTGTGGGGCCGTGCGTGGTGCGCGTGCCCCACGTTTTGATAGATGCGTCCCGCCTGTGATTGCGCCGCACGATTTTTTGACCAATCAGGAAACAACTGCGTGCCACCTGTGGCCACTCTCGTTCAGCCAGCACGGCGGGTGACGCCTACATAGAATAAAAGCTTAATCGTCGAGTGAAGTGGAACGAACGTCGCCAGTTCCGTGTTTTTGTCACGCGACGTTTCGTCTTTTTGTTTGTTGTGCTTGGGGGGGCGGGGGTGGGGTGATAGACCAACGCGTTGCTAGAGGTTGGGTCACGTGCTTGCGTTTGGTTGTTTTCTTTTTGGACCGGTCAGCGCTAGTCCAGGATTGTCCGCGTTGTTGATTGTCGGTGGCATTCCCTGTCGCGGGATGGGAAGAGGGGGGCGCCGGTAAATCAGCCTGGACGGGGGTTCTACCTCCACGGCGCACGGGGAATGTGGCGCATATAATATCGGTAGAAGGGGTAAGGGGTACATTAGTACATGGATGTATTGGCCAGGACGGTGCGAGCAGCGCGCGTTGGATGGATGGATGGGTGGATGGATGGATGGGTGGGGTGTATCGTAGTCGTGACAGCTGTATAATCATTCACGGGTGGGCGTAGTGGACCCTCGCATAGCGAAGGGGTCAACAAGAGGAAGGGCGGGGGAAAAATCAGAAAGAAGCCGGGCTGCTCGGTCAGCCAGGACATGGTTGACAGCTAGCTGTGCATCCGTCGCTCGAAGATGTCTTTTATTGTCGTCGTCGTCGTCCTCAGTATTATCTATGCATATGAGGGAGCAAGGGGTCCGTCAACAACGCGGTTGACGTAGGGTAGCACGCACCTCAGTCGGTGCCTGACGTTCTTTGTCGTCTTTTCTCCTGTCTGGCGCGTCCAAGCAGATACGGAGAGGGGCTTCAAATCCGATGTCAAGAATATCACTTGGGAAATCAACAGGAACACCGCCGGCGGTGTCTTCGCGGTCCCAGCGTTTGGCGCCGTCATGAATGCACCAATTGTTTTTTTTTTGATGCAAAGGCGCCAGCTACAACGTATCCACACATACATACGGATGCTTGACAATGACTTGCGAGACGGGGGCATAAGAAACCACACTGTCGTGAACGTGTAGGGAACAGTGTGGGAACTACATGTATTTAGTTGTCAAGAGTATCATCCTGGCTCAAGAGGCACGTCTTCCCATGTTTTATCAAAACCAATCATCATGATGCTCGTGGAAGAAGGCAGAAACTCCCCGATTGATGTCCTTGCCGCAACACCCCCCCCGTAGTCGTGTCTGTTAAACATGGGAAAGGCGTGGAACTCTTCGTACGGTATTGCATGAAATCCGTGACCGCACACACCGCGAGCTGTGTTATGTTCCAGGGCTCCATCAACATCATATTTATCGTATTCGACTTTAATTGTTGTTTCTCACATTATAGCTCTATTGTCCATAAAAAATGGGGACCCCGTGGTCTGAAAACCCGGCACATTCGACGCCGCGGGGAAACAAAACAAAAATAGGGTAGAAACCACTCGGAAAGGGAAAAAGAAAAAAAAATGATAGACAGAACGAAAATAACAGGTACCGCACCGACAGCAGTAGGCAGGGAGGACTGAAAGAAAAGCGAGTATTTCGGATGGATCCATCCTCAAGGGGGAAAAGTGAGTATTTCAGACAGATCCGTCCTAAGAGGGGAGGAGTCTGAAATTGGTGTTTATTGGAGTTTACGAGAATGAGCAATTTTATTTTGTGACGTCTGCGGGCGTATAGAAGAGGAGGCACGCGCGCCGAGAGAAGGCAGCTGCTCGCAGGACATTCCGTTTGCGCCCCAACACGTTGAAGCATCATCAGTGCTGGAGCACAGGGACTGCTAAACGTACGAGTGGACAACACTGCCAGCTACTACCTGTTTAGACGTTCTGTTCCGGGGAGCTAGTGTTGTCGTCTTCGCCGGCGGGGCGAAGACCAAGAATCTGGTCGAAGGAGTCGATCCGCCGTTCTCGGAGAAGCTTCGACTACTTTGGTACGTGCGATGTGACGTTGCGTGTGGTTCCACAGCATAACAGAGAGCGCTAGCTGTTAACATACAGCGGTCAGCGCACAGTGAAACGCATCGTTATCCGTGAGGCACACGGGGGCATTGGCCAAACGGGCAAAGGCCATGTGAAGTTGGCGGGCGGGTGTAAATATGACATATCGATGTTCTTGGGGCTTGCTCGAGCAGGGCGATGCCTGGCTGATGATGCTACTGCGGTGCGTGCGCTGGTGTGCATGGAGCGGCACAGTTTCAATCACAAGGGTTACAAACC